TATATTCGGGGTCTATACATTATACCCATTCACGACGCTAGATGGCGCCAGATATCATTGAAACGAATGCTGAACTTGACTCCCCAGGCCAAAGTGAACCCCTGACAAAAATAAAAATAAATAAAAATAAAAATAGCGGTAGCACGAAGAAGAAAAATAAAAAATAGTGGTAAGAAAGAAAAGAGAAGAAAATAATAGAAGAGAACAGAAAATGGAGAAACGTAGCGACAATCTGGAGAAAAGTGGGTCGAAGATCGGCAGCTGGGGAAAAGTTATGATGTAATTTACATTTCAAAAACCAGAAGCCATTCATTTATGAATGTGATTGCACTTTAGTTTACATATTTAAATGTTCAGATATTAAGATTTGAATGAGGCAAAATAACATGCTTTTTCTCTCAAATATATTGTTATAATCATTTGTTTCAGATGTACTGTAATTATTTTCTGTATAAAAATTTATTTGTTGTTCAAAAAGTCTTTTTTCAAACTTGAGTCTTGAAAAAGAGGGGGTCGTCTTATAATCAGGGCCGTCTTATATTTGGGCCAATACGGTATATACACATATGGATGTGTCTATTATATGTATGTGCATGTATACATATATCAAATATCTACCCATTGTATAGCCAGTATTTACATCTAGATATATTCAGATAGATATCTGGAAAAAAAAAGGTTATCTTGCATAGCTTCCCAGAACATAAACATGGATGCACCAAACAACACTGTAGCTTCCTCCATAGTCACCCTCTTATTTGCTCATATTTCAGAATGTCTCGTCATACATCAACATTTTAGGATAAAGTGACAGGGAAGGGAGAAAAAAAAGTCAGCCCCAAGCCACGGCGGTCTGAGACTTTCTTTTTCTTCACAAGGTGGATGTGTCTGGAATTTGGATGAACGCATTTCTTGTCATTTGAAAGCCAAGAGAGATGTAGCTGAAGATTAGCGCCGCTGGGGTCTGCAGAAGAGGGCAGACAGACGTGTGAAACAAGGTGCAGAGTAATATGCTGAATTGGGGATTGGGGAGAAGGGGACAATATGTCCAAGCCTTTAATGGAATGTTCCTGTGCTCCTGCTACTGAAATTTGCATGTCAGACAGAAATGGCTCCCCATTGTCCATAGATGTGCCTCTCAGAATTTTGTGGATTTTTTTTTTAAGGCACATTAAGTCATCATTTGCTTCCGCTGTAACTTGCCCCAAAACAAAGTGAAGTCGGAAAAGAAAGTAAACAACGTTCACTTGGATGCCTTTACGTACCCGTATGTGGTTTGAAGCAGGAAAAGCATCATGCTTTGAATCTGGTTTTTTTGTCTCTTTTTCCTGACATTTTTTTTTTTTTTTGCGGGGGCGGTTAATGTTTGAATGTTATGAACTTTGTTTTATCTTATAATGTATTCAAACGCAGGGGATGAGAACATTTTAATAAGCACTAATATCACCCGATTAATCCGTTGGCCAATAGTCTGATTGCAATAGCTTAATTGTGAGCAGAGCCCAGTGAGGGTGTGCACACTTATGCAACCCCTGTATTTCACTTGTTACTGCTTGAACATTTTTATACATAATATATGTCTATCCATCCATCCTAAACCATCGAGATTTGACAGTGTGTGTACCACATGGCTCCCTTCTAAGTCATCTCTTCCAAACCTTCCTAACACACACCAGGGCATCCTGTGCAGCCCAAAAATAGAAAGGAAAAGACACTCTCACAGAGGGTCGTTTCTCATCAATTTTAAGAGTAAGATTTGCGGTTTAAAAATATTCACTTTTAGCGCAGCGAGCCCCAGGAATTATTCATAATCTGTCTGCATGTGTTGCTCCACCATTTGTGTTCAAATATCCATTTCTTATAACACCGCGATGCCAAATGCTATTCAGTTAGCCTACCTGTAGCGTTTTGCACTGCTCGATAGCATTAAGCGAAACAGACTTTTCGAAGGCAAAGCTACCGTACGCGTTTGTTTTTAACAGCAGGTTATTCCCCAGGCCTCTTTTGATCACTTACGTCACAAAAGAACATTTTTTCCTCCAAGCCCAGAAAAAAAAAAGTTCAATGTCGCCGTCCTGAAGCTGAGTTTCTCGCGGGTATAATTCCTAAAGTGCATCGGGGTCGTAATCCGACACACATAAAAAAAATATATATTTATATATATTAAAAAAAAGGTGGACTTCTCCTTTTTGCACATCTCAGCATGAGTAAAGTAATCTATTGCCTTTTTAAAACTTCCCGACGGAGGTTCCACTGACTTCTTCCAAACCCTGCGCAAAGTCATAAATAATTTACGGGCCGCTGCAGGAAAAAAAAAAAAAACACATCGCTCTTAATTATTCAGTAATTAAGAGTGCAAGTCATCTTTTTGATTAACGTCAACTTGCTCCTTGTTGGTTTGTCTGTTTCCTTGAAGAATGCCCATCTGCATTTGCGCTGCATTGAGTGACACCGCTAATTAGAGCTGTCGTCGTCAGTTCAAACTCGTAATTAATCTTGAGACATTTCACTTTTTTGTTGGGGGGGGGGGGGTTCTGCTATGCCCATATGCGGACCGCGAGAGTTTTGTCTTAAATACGGAGGAATATGAGTTGGGGATTAGCAGATAATTAGCGCGACTGTTCCCGCGGATTAATTAACTCGCCACATTTACATGAATCCTAATTGTGGTGGCGAGCTCATTTGCATCACCTCGCCTCGCTTTTGTTTGAGTTTTGTTTGGCTTCCAGCACAAACTCACGTGTTGCATCCGAGCGCCTGTTGCTCCCGGTAACTTAAAAATAATCTCTAAAAATGGATACGATGACTTTTAGCGGATTTAGCACGACTCTACAATCTGGAGAGTTGAAAAAAATTTAAATACGGATTTGAAATGTATTGACATCATATAATTTGAATGAATCCTATTGTATCGCCGACACAGTAAGATCTCACCTTCGATCGATTTACAATTAATTGTGTCGGAACGGGAGTGTAGTGTCATGAGAAGTGATTGTATTGGAACTGGATTGAGGAGTGAGTCGAACTCGGGTCATGTGACTGGAGTTCCCCCGTGGTGAATCACAATTGCAATGATCGCTAGGTATGCTAACAAAAGGGAATCAAACCATAATTGGAATAAAGCGTCTGGTAATTAGAGTGGCTGGTGTCGTAATTGGAGTTAATTATACGACATCGTAATTTGTTTGAATCGTACCACACGGGGACGACTTGAAAGTCAATCAGAGTCACGGAACAAATTTTGGTCCAGTTTCGAAACTTTCGGCATTGTTGGACGATCGCACTCGCGTGCGCTTTTCTGCAGTAGTTTTTTACCCCTTATTGGATCAAAATCTTAACGTGCCGGGACAAATCTTCAACCCAGTGCAGTGGGTATAAATAACCAAGCAGTGGGTCAGTTATCTTGGACCCAGTGTTGAGTTATATCAAGCTAGTTGGGTTACTTTTGACCCAGCAGTTTTAAAAGTATGTGGTAGGATACCACTGCACTCTAAAAACAGTCAAATCAAAAATAACCCAATATTGATCAATACCCCAACTTTTTGGGTTATTCATTTAACCCTCATTTTTTTAAATGTATCATTTTGTGGGTTATTCATTTGACCGACTTTTGGGGTTAAATGAGGAACTCCATTTTTAACCACACATTTTTGCGTGTGTTTACCGTATATCATACATTGTTCAGATAAATAATGTTTGGCAGCTAATTCAAGGCCCTGAAAGTGGGAAGACAAATTGACGTCAGCTAAGATTACTTTTCCCTACCCAATCTTCCGTCCGCATAATTATGGGAATTCAATTAATTGAGGCTTTTACATTTGCATATCTGGGTTATTCCTCTCTCAAGTCTATCGGGAGAGAAGAAATGATTTTAAGGCGCCAGACAGTCTAACTCCTCCACGTCTGCCTCTATTCTTCTCGCCTTCTCAGGGGAGGGGTTGCTCCTGACACCTTGGGAAAAAAAAAAGGATTTTATCAGGGTGCAATACAAGAGTTAAAACACAGCACACACACATACTGTGTATATATATTGAAAAAAAAAATCCTCATCTCACCCCTCGGGTGGTGTCCGTCTCCCATTCAGCTCGGGTCCTCTACCAGAGGCCAGGAAGCTTGAGGGAGACTATGCCAGCCACCTGGTTATGGCGTTCCATGTAGGCTTTCATTGCCAGCATCTTACACCCTGCAGTTATGTGTTGGATCGTCTCAGGTGCCTCTTTGCACAACCTACACCTTGGGTCTTGTTTGGTGTGGTATATCTGGGCTCTGGTGCTCAGGGCCTGCTCCTGAGCAGCCAGGATGAGTGCCTCTGTGCTGTCCTTCAGGCCAGCCCTCTCGAGCCACTGATGTATG